GTTTAGAGCAGGGGTGTGAATACAGTCAAGCAGTGGCCGAATAATTGAGCTGCTATGGCATTGTCGAAACTGGGGAACGTTGGCAAGGGGTGTGTCCTCAGTTTTTGAACTCAGTCTAAGAGCAGCCTGACAGGAATCATCCCCATGCCTGGATTCTGTCGCCACCCACTGTGAAAGGGCATATCAGGTAAGACCAATGCTTTTAAACATGAAATAAGCCTCTATCTGATCCATGAAACATTTGCTGGAATATATCATGTATTCTGATCAGCAGGCTTCCAAAGTGGAAGGGAATAAAAGCAATGGATTATCTGCCTTTCTGGAATATGTATATTGCATATACAGTATTCAACCTGGAAATCAGAAGAAATTTCCTGATTGTGAGAACTATTACAGGTAGTCCACAACTTACAACCATTTGTTCAAAGTTACAATGGCACTGAAAAAAGTGACTTGTGACCATTTTTTTACACTTAATATCCTTGTAACATCCCCATGGTCATGACCAAAATTACAACTGCAGTGATTCACTTAATAAATATGGCAAGGAAGATTGTAAAATGTGGCAAATCTCATTTAACAACATTTTTAACACCAGAAATCTGGGCTCACTTGGGGTCGTGATTCAAGGTCTATCTGTACTCAATAAAACAGTTTGTCTCCCAGAGTTGTAGGTGTTCCATTCAGTGGTGGTATTCAAATAAAGTTGCCACCGGTTTGGTGGGCATGGCTTGGTGGGTGCGCTTTGTGTGCATGCACACACTGCGTGCACACGCGTGCCAAACACACACTTTGCTCAGGCGCAGAGGTGTTCTAACTTGCCTCCTGCAAGTCTGCACGATGGTGGTCGCTGCAGCGGCTGCCGTGCGGCATTATTTTATGCCGCGCAAAGCAGCTGCGCTTTGAATTATGCTGATAAAAGTGAGTATGGGAGACCGGGTGGGAGGGTGGGCTGAACACAGAGTAGCGCAGAGAACCGGTTCGGTCTTGACTGCTCATCGCCGCTACCGGCTCTCCAGAACCGGGCAGAATCCGTCGAATACCACCACTGGTTCCATTGTTGGAACTTTTCAAGAAAAGAGTGGACAACCATTTGTCTACCATGATGCAAGGACTCCTGCCTTGGGCAGGGCATTGGGCTAGAAGATCTCCAAGGTGCCTTTCAGCTCTATGATTCTGTGTTCACTAAAAGCATTCATGGAAAACAAACCTGTGAATTAGCATATATTTCAGGCATCATGTATGAAATTAGGAAAGTAAATAAATCTATCTTCCCCTTTCAAAAAACCAAGAAAGGTTGTCTGTGTATTCATGGGGATGTAGAAAACACCTGGGAAAACCTTTAAAGTAGGAACAATGCTGAACTTTTTGGGAAATGTAACAACCGCAAAGCTACCTAGATGACCTTTGAATAGTTTTGCACCAATTTTGTGTTGTATTTTGGAGAGAAATATAATTTTGTGTGTGTGTCTGTATTGTATTATCAAAGTCAGAAATGAAGGCACCTCATCATGAGATTTTCAATACTTAATATGAACAGCAGTACACAGTATTTGTCTCAATTACTTATTTGTACTGATAGGCAACTGCAACAATTAACAAAAGCACACTGAAGTAGAATTAGAAAGAAATAGTTTGCCAGAAAAGCTGTCTTCTGTTCTTTTATTCCCAACCCCTTTTACAACTCAAAGTCCAGAATAGAAGCCTGAGGGACAAGGAGCTACCATGTATTTTACTGCACATTTAAGTTGGCCAGTGCCATAAAGCATTATGCTGGCTAGCTTCTGTTACCAAGGTTACCTAGGATGTGGATTCTAATAGCTCTTAGAAAGGATAAAAAGAGAGTTGTTTAATCTGGAGGCATCACTAAGCAGAGAGCTTCGGAAAAACTTAAGCTTTTCTGGTGACTTAATTGCAGACTGGAATATCAATCCTTAGTTTCCTTCCCTTCTTAAAGAGGAGAATGGATTGAGATCTCTCTCCATTCAAGCATTTTAAACAGTGAATGAATTAGAAGGTTGATATGATAAGGTAGAAAGATGATCACCCTTAGCTTTCAGAGTTGAATAATGGAATAGAGAATGATACACTTTTCTGTTTAGATCATTGTGTGACTGCACATTAGCCTAAATTATAATTGTGTATTATTTGATTTGTTGCTCAAATTGTAATGAGCCAGATGTAAATATTAGAATGGCTGAGTCCATCTTGTCATTACTACATAACTGTACTTGTGCAGCACTATAATTGAGATTCTATAGCACTAGGTAGTAATTGTATTGATGAAATCTCTCATCGTTATTTTTTTAAATTTAGAATGAAATACATTCTGTCCACGTATTGTTACATACTTTATAAAGACCTTGCTTAGTAGTCTCATAGATATTAAACAGGGAGAGCAAGAGATATTGAGCCTTATGGCCTCTTGTGATCTGTCTCTCTCAACTATCTATCTCTGCTCTGTCTGAGCTCAATAACAAATGAAAGCTATACTATGACTGTCCCAAAAGGTGCTTTCAAAAGGCAGATGGATTTTCTTTGTACTGAACTGAAGAAATTTCTTGGATGAGAAGTGAAATATCTTCAAGGAAAAAACAAAGTCCAGTTGCTTTTTGAAAAGCACCTTTGGGACAACCATGACCGTGACTGAAAATCTCCATAGAATCTATACTATGTTTCCACCCTAAAATTTTGTAGTCCAATCATCTCAAAACTTTTCCCTAAAGAGAACAAAAAAAGGGTGTAGTGTGATGTTTTACAACATTGTAAGTTCAATTGAGTTGTTAATTGACCGATCCATATGTTCAGGACTAACCTGTAGATTAGGGAAATGCTGTCCAAGTAGCTTTAAAGCATTTTGACAAGTATTTATGACATTCTGTACTCTAATTAGATTGGATAGCAAGATTATTTAGTGGATACACTACTCACTACTTTTTACATTTAATTTTTAATTAAATTAAATTTTAATTTAATCAGTTATTGGGTAGAGTATAATAAAATGGAATTATTTAAAGGTGCACTCATTTGAGTGACAAATGCTTCTAATACTTTTATAAAGACAAATTTTAAAATGATTTTGAAAGATTGAAGGAATAGTTTGGAAATAACAAAATGAAATTTCATAAATGCAAAGGACAGATAATAGCACAGCTTGGCCTTGTTGAAAAAGTCATGTGATCTGAGATTTAAAGAACTTGGAAAAGTTTGGACTTGAGAAGATGGTGGAAGATATGCTAGCAAACTTCAAATAGCTGAAAGGCTGTTGCAGTGAAAAGTATCAGGATCTATTTTCTGCTATTCCAGATTGCAGGACATAGAGTAGATTTAAGTTATAGAAAGGCAGATTGTGATTAAAGCTTAGTGTGAAAAAGACTTCCTAACTGTGAAAAGAGTTTGACAATGGATAGATACAATTACCTAGAGAGATGTTGGACCCCCTGTTCGCTGAATGTATTTGTGTGAGGCTAGACAGCCATTTATCATGGACGCTTTAATTTGGATTCCTGCAGTCAGTAGAGAGTTAGATGTGATAGCTAAAATGATCCGTTCCAACAGACTAATTCTGAGCATTTTTTTTTTAGACAAACTGGAATTTGTTTTGTTTTATATTGCATCAAAATCAGGTTTCATGCTATGGTGAAAATGTGTTTACTATTTTTGTAATTTTAAATTTCTTTTAAATTTTATAGAAAGAATTGGGGAAAACAGAAAAAGAAATGTGTGCATTGTGCTCTATAACAAGGCATTGTTTGATATTATGCATTTTACAGAAAATACAGGAACTTTACATGAATTCAGATTGAATATGTATTTGCAGGTCATGCAGTTTATGAAAATATTCTGAAACTATTTTTTTACATTAGAAAGCACTATATTTTTCAGTGTCAAGAAGTGTACTTTGCCTTCATGTAGTAGCCCGGATCTCCCATAAAAACTGAGAGGAATTTAAATTAAATCCTTAAATTTAAATAAATGAAATCAAATTTGAGTTAGATTGATTACATATACACAATACAATTTAGATAGATAGATAGATAGATAGATAGATAGATAGATAGATAGATAGATAGATAGATAGAAAATAATAGTCTTGTTGAATATATTTTACCACATGCATATTAAAATGTCTATCCTACTCTTAGTAAAATCCATAAATCTGTTACTTTCTTCTATTCAGCATCATATGCAATTAATTTGTGCCGTGCCAAGTTTTTTCAGTGTGCTGACAAATGCTCTGTTACCATTCAGAGACCAGAAGATTGGAATAAGTGGGAAGGGAATATTTATGTGCAAAAAGAAATTAAAGGAGAGAGGAAATCTGTTTTTTCTTAATAGCAAATTGTTGAGGTTTGCGTATGAAGTCTTAGTCATGCTTTTACACAAATTAACTGACAAATTAGCATTAGGTCTAGGGTAAAAAGCAGCTGCAATGGATAGCAGTGTCAGTAAGCAAAAAAGGGAGGGACAATCTGTGTTGCTGATTCTCATTGGAAAGGAGAAGTAATTCCAATATCTTCCAGGCTTTCCTACATCTGCTTTGAAATGGTTGGAGAAAAATAAGAGGGTCTTTTTTTCAGATATAATATTTATTCTGATTAATACAATATCTAATTTTTCCCCTTGAATTCCGTAACGTTGCCACAATGGAGCATACCTGTGGGTTATTTATTATTTGCAAATCATCTAAAACTACTCTCCTAAATATTTTAAAGCTAACAGTATATTTTAACTTATATTGGTCCTTTAGTTCATTGAATTGATTTAAGGGTATTTTAGTCTACCATAGAAGAGAGCTGTATCATGAATAGTCTGTAGCAGGATATCTGTTCAAATTTATTTGGAAATTTTGGTGTAATGTTAATAAAGACTTATAAAGAAATCTTAACGGTGCATGTGTCTGAAGCTATAATAAGATAGCAGAATGAAATATTTAATGCATGCCTAAACTGCAAATTCATTCTGTGATATGATGTTCTAATTAATATTATTTTTTCTAGGAAATTCCAAGTTACGGGAAGTATTGCATTCTGCATGATTTGAAGGCTTTCAAGTTTAATCTGTTCTATGTCTGTTGGCTGAAGGAATGTAAACCATAAGTTTTTAGAACTGAACAAAAATTGGCAGAAATACATTTAACAGGTAAATATTTCTTGATAATTAGAATGGAGTACATAACTGATCTCTAGCTGTTCGAACTTAATGTATTAATGTATTAATATGTTTGGAACACGTATGTGCCAAAGATGTTCTGTTTTCTTACTCTCTGCTATATTTGTGAGTTTTCAGTTTCAGCATCATTCTTAATTGAAGTCCATTAGCTTCATATTTACAAAAATACAAATAATCCCCAACTACAATTGGAATCTGTTGGTAAGCAAGGCAGTTAAGTGAATCATGCCCAATTTTATGTCCTTTTTCCCCATGATTGTTAATCAGATCAATGCAGTTAAATGAATAACAGGTTGTTAAGTGAATCCAGCTTCTCTCATTGACTTTGCCTGTCTGAAGCTGGCTGAGAAGGTCACAAATAGCAGTCCCTGGGAGACTGGAGAGCACGGTGGTGCAAGGCCGGAGGCCAGTCTGTCCTTCACCTTGGCCAAGTGGTAAAGTGCAACAGCGACCGGGAGGCCTGGCTGGTCATCCATGACTGCATCTATGTCATCACCCGCTTCCTCGATGAGCATCCAAGGTTCTGCTTGAACAAGCTGGTAGAGATGCCACAGAGAGCTTTGAAGTTGTTGGCCACTCCATGGATGCTAAAGAAATGCTCAAGCAGTATCTCATAGGAGAGATCCATCCGGATGGTCATAAACCTGATACCTCCAAGGTTCCAAGCCCATTCCATGAGTCAAACATCTGGATGGTCCGGGTAACCCCATCCTGGGATCCTTGGTTCTGGGATTGATGTATCACTATTACATAATGGATGGCAAATCCTCCTGACTTGAGCTTGCAGGAGTTATCTGCACCCATATCACTCCATTGATAGCTGTACATGTTTTCTAACTTCTGATGGCTTCCAGGTGTCTTTCACTTTTATCCGTCAGTTTAATGCCTCTACTACCTGCAAAGCCAAGCAGCGATCTATGTAAACCACCATCTTTGCTGTAGACTCCAGAAACTGTCATTCCACTGTGGTATACTTTTTCAGGCATCAGCTACAAATAGTTTTTATTTAAATGGTTCTGATGTTGAGTGGCAGTCCCTGCTTATTCCAGCTTGTCTTATCAAGCACTGTCAGCAGCCACTGTGTGGCCAGGTTTCCTACAAAAAATGATCCCACCAGCACCTGCCAACGGGGCTTGCTTGAGAGGATTTTCTGTACGCTTCTCCTACACTTGGATTTTCAAATGGTTAAATTAATTATGTATTTTTAATTGTTTTGGTTTACATAGTCCTGTTGCATTGTACGCCTATTCTGTAATATAAGTCTCTGGACCAAAAAAAAAAAAAAGAAATCCCTTAACCTTGGGACACTGCAACTCTTGTAAATACATGCGGTTTGCCAATTGCCCAAATTTTGAGCATGGGGATGTGATAGTTTTATGTGTGAGGACTGATCACAAGTCACTGTTGTCATTGCTGTTGTAACTTTGGTCACCAGATGAATGGCTACCTGGATAATAGCAGTTTGTAATCTCTGATAGTTAAACGATATTCTGTTGTGCATTATATATATTAACCAAGTTTTAGATGCTTTTTTGTCAGTCAGGAACAATGCTATCTATTATGTAGCTCAGTGTATGTAAGTAAGCTGATGTTGTGAGGAGAGTTATTTGGGATTGATCTATGATTTCTGAACACAATTGAGTCATGGAATATTGTAGATGCCATCTAATTTATACTATTGATTTAAAAAGATTGATCTTTTGGAGTTCTCTGATCTATAGATTCTTTTTAAATATGTTGGCTTTGGGGGAAAATGGATACTTTTTTCAGGAATTGTAGAAAATATTTGAAAGAAGTACTGTATTTTGCAAAACGTATTGATGTGAGAGAAGCAATTCTCTTTAGAACATTAAAGCAACCAAAAGCATACACATATTTCCAGAGGCAATTGGGGACAGCTTTGAAGCAGCAGCTTAGTCCTTGTAAAAGCTGCAGTTGTTTTTATTTTTTGAATATAGCTTTATGATGCTAACATGACAAAGCACCTATTTCCAATGCTTTGAAGAGCCCTATAGTTAAGTTGTTGCAAGATACGGCTGCCTCGCCCCCCCCCCCCCCCCTTTTAAAAAAAGCTGTGCTATAAATGGGAAATTGTTTGAACTTTATATCTAGATGTTGGGCTACTAAACATTATTTTAGATTAATTACCATGAGTACTGTTTTAATCTATATTATTATATATGGGTTCACATGCTTGTGTTCTGTTCAACTATTACTGATTATAGCTGGGAAATATGTATCTGCTACTTCATATTAAAATAGAATAAGTAAAAGAACTATGCATATTAAAACTACTATGGCTAATTTACAGGTATGACATGCAAATGTAAAATGGGATTTGTGATTTGTACATTATTTAATAACAAAGGAATAATTACTACATATTTCAAGGTTTGAGTTCAAGGTTTATTTTGTCTGTAGGACACTAATCAGTTAAAATAAATCCATTCATTTTGAAAAGCTAAAACTAATGCTAACTAAGAAAGCCTGGTTGAAAGGCATTTGGTTCTTTAAAGTGGAGAATACAAATCTTGATAGAGTGCGTTCTATAAGAAGGTTATATTTCCAAAGTAGTCTGAAATAATTATCATTATTTGGCTGTTTTGAAGACAGACTTTGGATAGCTGGACTTTGCTTTTCCTTGTTTTGTGTTGTATTATGATACTCTACTCAGGATCACATTTTCTTTTGCAGATACCTTTGTAAATTAGGAAACATGGGCGCATTTTTGGATAAACCAAAAACTGAGAAACATAATGCTCACGGGGCAGGAAATGGCCTGCGTTATGGCCTCAGCAGTATGCAAGGCTGGAGAGTTGAAATGGAAGATGCTCACACAGCTGTTGTAGGAATTCCTCACGGTTTGGAGGACTGGTCTTTCTTTGCTGTTTATGATGGTCACGCAGGATCGCGCGTGGCAAATTACTGCTCAAACCACTTATTAGAACATATCACTAACAATGAAGACTTCAGGGGAACAGAACAGCCTGGCTGTGCTCTTGAACCTTCAGTAGAAAATGTTAAGAGCGGAATCAGAACTGGCTTTTTGAAAATCGATGAATATATGCGCAATTTTTCAGACCTCAGAAATGGCATGGACAGGAGTGGCTCAACAGCAGTGGGAGTTATGATTTCACCTGAGCACATTTATTTTATCAACTGTGGAGACTCACGTGCTGTTCTATATAGGAATGGACAGGTCTGCTTTTCAACACAAGATCACAAGCCTTGCAATCCAAGGGAGAAGGAGAGAATTCAGAATGCAGGAGGGAGTGTCATGATTCAGCGTGTTAACGGCTCATTAGCAGTGTCTCGTGCTCTGGGGGACTATGACTACAAATGTGTTGATGGCAAAGGTCCTACAGAACAACTTGTTTCTCCAGAACCAGAAGTTTATGAAATTGTAAGAGCTGAAGAGGATGAATTTATTGTCTTGGCTTGTGATGGAATCTGGGATGTAATGAGCAATGAGGAACTCTGTGAATTTGTTAAATCTAGGCTTGAAGTATCGGATGATCTGGAAAAAGTGTGCAATTGGGTAGTGGATACTTGTTTACACAAGGTATGTAAACTTTTCAGATTAAAGATTATTTTGGATGTTCCTTTTACTGTTAAAACTGAACAAAAATTAATTCTAAAAATAGCATAAAATTGAGATTGATGAGTCCACCTTAATGTGATGGCAGTCTTACTAAGCATTCACCTGCTACTTGTTTGGGCTTGGCAATGTACTTTATACAACCCAAATAGCATTTTTAAATTTTTCACAACCTAGTTTATATTTATTCTTAAAAGTTAATGTTTTATGTTTACCCTCGACGGACAATATTTAAAAGACTTGCAAGTTAGTTTCTTTTCATGAAGCAAAGGTAATATTGTTTCTTCTTCTTCAAAAAAAAAAAAGGTTGGAAATTGCTAGTGCTTTGCTTCTCAGTGTCTAAGCGCTTCCCCTCCCAACTCAAACCAGTGTTGTTACCGTTGATTTTTCCAGGATTTTCATTTGATAATAATGAAATTCACATTACTATTTAAAGTGTGTGCCTAGTCTTTAGGGTAAAGCTTTAAAATTTTCAGAATTGATGATACAGATTTTTATATGTATTCAAATTGCTCATTATTTGTAAACAAATAATATCCAATTTTCAGTTTTCTAAAACTGTTAAGTAGAATGTAGTGCAGTTGTTTTATATTTGATGTTTTTTAAAGCAGAATCTGATTTTCAAAGTGTTAATAACTCAAATATTCAAGTATCTAAATGAATTTCAGTCTTTCATATATTACAAAATTAAGACTTAAAGAATCATAAAATGTATAAGGGCTCCTATAAATTAGTCTAATCCATCCCTGCTAGTGAGAAAATTCACTAAATCATCCCAATAATTGGCTATTTAGCTTCCAATTGAAAATTTCAACTGACAGAGAGTTTGTCGCTACAGGTAATTCTCAACCGATGATCACAATTGGGAATTTCTATTGCTAGCCAATGCAGTCATTAAAGTAATCACATGGCCAAACTTGATTTTATAGTCATTGTGGTCGTTAAGCAAATCCAGCTTACTCAATGAATTTTGCTTATTGGAAACCAGCTGGGAGGGCCACAAACTGCTGTCACGTGGCCATAAGTCACTGCAACTGTTGTAAATGTGAGTTAACAAGCACCTGATTTATGATCACACAACCTCATGGTTAGTGGGATGTCATAACTTTCAAGATGGGTCAGGAGCCACTTTTTCCAGAGCCATCGTAACTTTGAATTATTATTACACAAGTTGAAAGTCAAAGATTACCTGCATTGTAGTCACACTGTTTTCTTTGCTTAACATTTATCACTGGGAAAGTGCTATATTCAGCTAGAACCCTTTTCTTTTAATTTCAACTTGTTGATTCTTGTTAAGGATGTGCAAATCTCACTGATATTGGAGGAGTCTGATACAACCAAATAGACAGATTTTTTTTTATGATTGTAAGTTGACCAGAATTACCCTGTGATAAGACGGGCAGCCAGTAAATTTTATAAATAATACATTCCAATCCCCTATCAGAATGTGTGAAACTTCCTCTCAGACAATGCTATTCTAGGGGTGAATATTCTGTTCCTAATTCAGTGAATTTTGCATATCCCTAGTCCTTGCCCTGGTCAAGATATTAGTAAGTTTCTTTCCTTTTGTATGTGACATACATTTTGTAAATCCTTTCCATATTTTCTTCTCTTTGCAAGTTAAACCTGACTGCTTTCTTAATAATTTTTCATAGGGCTAGGTTTCTAGATCCCTTATTGTCCAGTGTGCTGAGTAGAGAATCCAAGGAATGGGTTAACTCTTCTTGGAAACTGAGTCAATCAATATTTTGGTCACACCTCCTTTGCTTGTGCACGCCCAGTTTTGACTCGGTCTTTGTTCAGAAGAGACGTGTAGAAGAGTTGTCTTAGAACAGAAGGACAGAGTTATTCCTTGGATTCTGGAAAATTACAGTAAGGTCCCTGGCTCTAATCTCTAATGACGTGGAGGATGCTCTGAAGACAGGATAGGAAGGTGCATCAGGCGGCTGCTTGGATAGTCAAAGCAGCCACAGCTGCCTCATTCTTCAACTGGGCCTCATTGCTCTGGCTCCACCAGCTGCAAGTGAGGGTTCCTCCTGGTGACCTCTGCTTACACCAGGACATTGACAAACTGGTAGTGGCTACAGAAGTTTCAGTGGATGCTACCTTGAAGGTCACCAAATTTGCTCCCAGGGCCATTGCCTCTTCAATTGCAGCCTGTTGCCTACTTTGCTTCACCATTGGCAGGTGGACATGAAGTATAAGTGAAAACTGGCTTCTGCTCCTTTCAAGGGGAGCAAGCTGTTTGGAGAGGCTCTAGAGCCCATGCTGGTGGAGACTTAGGACAGGAGAAAGGTCTTATCTTCACTATACAGATGAGCTGACCGCCGTCCCTCACTTTGTTTCCATAAGCCTTTCGGCGCAAAGACCCAGGGTTTGACACCTCTCAACCCCAGAGATGTATGCCCACAGACAAGTCTGACCAGACAGATCCGTTCAGAGACAGAAATAGACAACACTTCCATGGCAGGCAACCATTTCGTGGCACAGGCAGTTGCCCCTTTTGCCGCTCAAAGTGACAAAAGGTCCAACCCTCCCATTAACGGGTACTTAAGTTTATTCACCAATCAGTGGGAAGTAACCACGACAGATCCCTGGGTCTTGAATATGGAGAGATTGGATCTCACCCTTGAATTCCTCTCCACACCTCCAAGTTTCTTCATACAATGCCCCATATCAAGGGACAAGACAAAAATAAACCTCATGCAGACAGCAGTCCAACACTTGTTGGAAATCCAAGCCATTCAACCAGTCCCAAAGGGTCAACGGGACAGGGGTTCTACTCCATCCTTGTTGTAGTTCCAAAGACCTCGGGGAGTTGGAGAGCAATTCTGGACCTGAAAAGATTGAACAGACATCTAATTTACAGGAGATTCAAATTGCAGTCCCTCCAATCAAAACTGGGGAGCATCCGAGAAAGTGAGTTCCTAACATCCATAAACCTGACAGAGGCATACCTTCACATACCTATCCTGCCATCTCATCGGCGGTTCCTGTGATTTCAGTATACTTGCCAATATCAGTGCAAAGCCCTACCATTCGGCCTATCCTCAATGCCCAGGACTTTTGCCAAGTTGCTGGCGGCACACCTCAGGGCGATTCCAGTGCGTTTCCAATGTTACCTGGAGGTTACATTGATATAGTCCTCTCCTGCAGGTCACAATCCAGGCCCTACAGGATCACAGATTCTTCGTCAATTTCAACAAGTGCCATCTAGCTCCTTCTATGCTACACCTGGGTGCAGTCATAGATACCAGGTCATGTGAGTCTCCCTATCCCAGGAGCATCAGGTCAGGACCTTAGCAAGGTGGATCCGAGCAGACCGGACAGTGTCCCTGGCCCTCCTCTCCCAACTCCTGGGCAAAATGGTGTCCTGCATATTGTACCTTGGACACACCTGCACGCCAGAGCCTTAACAGTGGTTCCTCCTGCCCTACCAATGGTCCAGCAGGAGCAACTCGAATACCAGGGTTCAGGTTCAACCAAGGGTACTTCATTCCTTCCAGTGGTGGATGTCGCAAGCCATAACCAAAAGATGTGTTTTCAAGGAGCCCAGCCGCCTGACCATCACCGCAGACTCCAGCCTCTTTGGCTGGGGTGCCACTTCCAGTCCCAAATGGCACAAGGGCAGTGGTCTCAGGCAGACCTGAGGAACAATATCAACTGACTGGAGCTCAAGGCATTGCACTTGGCACTCAAATGGTTCCAGGATGCGATATCTGGGCCCCATGTATTCATTCTGACGGACAATGTGACCAAGATGGCACCAACGACGGCTGCCTGGTGAAATGCTCTCTAATGGTTTCTTTATTCCTTATTATTTGCAATTCACTATGGATTTCATATGCTAAGAATTGCAAACGCATAGGAGATTCTAACCAATTCCCCGGTACTATGTATTACAACAAAGAAAGCAAAGAAGCGACCACGCCAGAAGAGGAGACGAGGTAAACGAGTGTTAATTTTAAACAGACTAAGGAATAGGGGGAAAAAACTCTTCTCCCTTCAATGTTTCTGACTAATTTAAGCTCACTGGCTAACAAGATGGATGAAATTCATCTCTTAAATAGATGGAATTCTGATTTTCATAATTCAGCTGTTCTTTGTTTTACTGAAACCTGGTTAATCCACAAATTCATGGGGACAACAGCATATACATCCCAGGATTTCAGACATTTAGATCAGACAGAATTGAAGAGACATCAGGTAAAACAAAGGGTGGAGGATTATGTTTATATATCAACAACAGCTGGTCTCAGGATATAACTATAATATATAAGTTTTGTGATGAAAACTTAAGAGTCCTTAACTGCAACTGCAAGCCATTTTACTCTCCACGTGAGTTCTCCTCATTTCTCCTAATAGCTGTGTATGTTCTTCCACAAGCCTGTGTAAACAAGGCATTACGAACTCTTGCTGATCAAATTATGGTGGCTGAAGCCAAACCCCCAGGTTCCCTTCCCATCATTTTAGGAGATTTCAATCAAACAAATTTAAGGAAAGAGCTCCCAAAATATTTCCCGCATGTAAATTGGCCCACCAGAGGCAAAAATACTTTAGACCACTGCTACACAACAGTAAAAGATGCTTATAGGTCTTTACCACAAGCAGCTGTGGGACACTCTGACCACTGCATGATTCACCTTGTACCTGCCTACAGACAAAAGACTTAAAACCATTAAACCAACAATTAAATCAGTGAAGACTTGGTTGGATGAGGCAAAGCTGAAACTCCAGGCCTGCCTTGATTGCACTGATTGGAATGTTTTTGAAGATGCCTCTGCAGATCTAGATGAGCTCACAGATACTGTAACATATGTTAGCTTCTGCGAAGACTTACGTGTGCCAACAAAGAACCTGCAAATATATAGTAACAATAAACCTTGGTTCACAGCTAAACTTAAGCAGCTACGTCGTTCCAAAGAGGAAGCCTACAGAAAAGGTGACAGAATGGTATACAACCA